GTTTCATTTTCATATTTTCGACTTGTGTGTAGCGAGAGAGTATATCCTTTCCTTGTCTTGTGATTATCATGTATTCTGTCTTATCTTGATTGATAACTAGTCCCATTACATAATCATAACAATGATTTTACTCTTTTGTTATCTTCAGAGTCTGAAAACATGATAAACTGAGGCTGTTCATAGTCATTACTGAGTGGCATACGGTGGCACCCCCTTTTAAAATACACAGGCAAGTATTTTTATTAACTCTTTGGGGGCCAAGGAATTCTACTTGCATTTCTTGGTCACAGCAAAGAGAATATGATTATGTGGCATTATTCTGTAACATATAATTGCTACTTTAACTCATTGTATTGAAAATCAGTTACAACTAGCAAGATTTACGGGGAAAGTCAGAGTTAAATGTATTGCTTGGCCATTTGGATGGGGGAAGAGAAGAGAGCTGACCTGATCTTGTAATTCTGGGGATCATATGGGGTGGCAAAACATGACCATCTACATTTATCCCCATGGCAGATGATGATTATGATCAGAAATGTTTGAAGTTTTTCTGCCTCATTGTGCCTCTAGTAAAACTCATTCAGGCATAAACACATATCACTTTCAAATACAACCTGTTAGTGGAAATAGTCTACTGTTTAGTTACTTTCTGTAAGTACCAGGTTTTAGGGTAGTGTAGGACAAGAGAGGAATCGTTGGCCAAATGGTTAGGAATGCTGCGCTCTCAAGCAGGAGATCCATGTTCGAATCCTCAGCAAGGTTGGGGATTTAGCTTTCTGTCAGGGGCAGAAATACAATCCTAACCTTCAGAGTCCCTGGCAATAGCACTAGCTATGCGGCTCTTAAACCTGTGGTTCAAAGACCCACCTGCACACACTGTAGAGTTGTAAATACAGATAGTAGTGATAGTTTTTGGCAGTAGGATAAGAAGGTCTTGTTTGCAGGACGTTTGTTTTTGCCCTGGATTGTGAAATCTCTCATCACCTTACTGAGGTTGGCCTCACTGATAACGGTCACAGAGTCGCGGCATGAGTTGCCTGATATATTTATTGTTTCAGGGCCTGGGAAATGTATTACATTTAAATTGGGGGAAAAAGGGGGGGGGGGGAATGTAGATAAATAAATATTTTACTATTTTATTGTAGATTTGCGTAAAATGTTTTTTTATTTTATGATTTTTTAAATAGAGTTCCAGCAGTGTCATGGCTTGTGTTTTTCTTTTAACGCTATAGGCGACAAAAGAGTTAAGAATATTAATTTAGAGGGCTGTTAGAATAATGCAACAGCAGGCTTGTGATGAAAAAACAATTAAAATATTACAAAGAAGAAACTAATTCATTCATTGTGAAGAAAGAAAGGGAATCAAAAGTAAAGCCTTATGAAAAGAATATAATGAAGTGAAATTACCAAAACTGTATTCGTTAGCATATTGAAAATATGGCCCATGATTAAAGGATACAGGGTATTCCATAAGTTTGCTTACTTAGAAAAAAAATCAACACAACACCATTACAAGAACAACTGTTCAGCAGTGCAGGTCACACATCAAAATGTGTTTTCAAAACATAATTATGTTTAGCATATACAAGGTCCGACAGTTCAGTAATGAGACTAACTCCATAAAAATTAAAATAATCAACAGTTGAAGATATAACCAGTATATGGTTCAAAGAAAGCCCCTTGTACATTGATACAGCAAGTGGCACAATCTAACAAACTCTGGAACGACCTCTGTAATTTTTCTCTTGTTATGGCTCTTAAAGTTGATGTTGCGGCCTTTTCAATCGTAACGTAAATTTTGGAACTAGAAAATAATCACGGGGAGACAAATCTGGGAATTAACTGTTTCAATGGCGCTTTTATATCTCATTTTGATTTCTGTAGCGGTAAAAAATCCATTGCCGGCTTGCTAGGCCTGTCGCAACTGTTTTTACAGGAAGGCCATTGATAGATCCACCCGAGATAGCAGAAAGATGGAGGGAATACTTCAATGAGCTCTTTAATCCTCTAGGAGATCATCAGGAAAGAACAACTGAAGAGCACAGAGCAACAGTGTTAGAACCACACATACTAAGGAATGAAATAGAAAAAGTCATTAAACAGTCTCCCAAATATAAAGCACCAGGAGCTGATAGATTACCAACAGAAATAATTCAAGCAGCAGGTGAAAGCAGCATCAGATGGCTTCACAGAATATTCAATGCAGCATGGGTACAACAAACGGCCCCTATTGATTGGCAACAAGCAATAGTTATACCATTGTGGAAGAACAAAGGAAGCAAACGAGAATGCGGTCTATATCGAGGCATCTCTCTTTTACGCCATGTTGGCAAAATGTATGCCAAGATAATAGAAACAAGACTGAGACCAGTGATAGAACCATAGCTGGCAGAAAAACAGATGGGATTTAGGAGAAATAGAAGCTGCACAGATGCAATCTTCACACTTAAACAGTTAATAGAAAAGAACATTGAATACAATAAGACCAGGAGAAGGCATTTGACAGAGTCGACAGACAATTACTATGGAAAATAATGGCAAGATATGGAGTAAGCGAACACCTCATCGAAGTGTGCAAAAGTTTATACAGGGATTGTAGAAGTGTAGTTAGAATAAATCAGGGAACATCTCATCCTTTCACAGTGACATCTGGAGTAAGACAGGGGTGTGTCTTATCACCACTGCTGTTTATCACCTACATCGACAGTATATGCAAGAATGCCAAGCCCATGAATGAAGATTTTAGTAAGATCAACGAATCACTCTTTGCAGATGACCAGGCCTTGATAGCAGATACAGCCATGAAATAGCAACAACATCTAACATCCATGAATGAAGAATGTAAAACAAATAATATGAGAATCAACACTGAAAAGACAGAAGTAATGTCAATAGGAAAAAAGAAGACAGATCTAAACATAGCAATAGAATACAAAGACATTAAACAGGCATCTGAGTTTAAATATCTGGGAACTACATTTACCGAAGATGGGAAATTGGATAAAGAAATTGACATTAGATGCAGTAAAACAAACCAAGTATTGGGACAGCTAGCCCCCCTCTTACAGCATAAGACAATCCCAATCAGCACAAAGAGACATCTTATTCAAAGCATATTTATTCCAACTCTGTGCTACCAGTGCCAGACATGGTCACTCACAACAAACCATAAAAGAAAATTAGTAACCACGGAAATGAGATGTCTGAGAAGGGCTGTAGGAGTGACCATAAGAGATAAGATCAGGAATGAGATCATAAGAGAACAAGTCGGCACAGAACCAATTCTGGATTACATACAAAGACAGCAAGTGAAATGGTTTGCCCACTTAGAGAGAATGCCTTGTGACACCATACCATACAAAGCATACATGGAAAGAGAAGGACGTAGAGCACGGGGTAGACCAAGAACAAGATGGAATGATAACATCAGAGAAACTCTACAACAGCACGATGTGCCTATGGTCGAGGCAGCCAGAAGAGCTAGAAACAGAACCTTATATCTCCCTCGACACTCACAGCGGTAAAAGAGGAAGTGAAGAAGAAGAAGAAGAATGGCGCTTTTTCTGAGTTTTAAAAAGGATTTAATGTTAGCTTTCTGCTCCGTTCTGATTATGTAACAATGCACCTCTGACTAGGTCAACAAAATGGTGGCTTGTTTGTTGTCTGCTTATCGAGCGGTGATGAAAACTTGTCAAATCATAGATTAATGTTGTCTCTTTAGATTCCATGTTTCGCTTCATAGATGGCATTTTTGTCTTGTCTATAATAAAACCGGTCTCATTACCTAATTGTCGGATTTTGTATACCTTTATTTTTTTTACTGGCAATAAATTGGAATATGAAGACAGCAACTGCTAACCTCAAGAATGGAATTCTCTGGACCCCTGCAAAACCGCTTGATGATCTGGACTTGGCTGATGATATTTCTCCTCTGTCCCACTTACAAAATCAGATAAAAGACAAATTAAATATACTTGATGCCAGATCACAGCAGCTAGGTGTGAAAATCCATGGGGGAAGGACAAAGATGAGAATAAATTAGGCAAAGAGAAATGTTTTTCTTAATGGTATCCCACTCGAAGATGTGGAGTCATACACTCATTTGGGCAGTTATGTAGATTATGATGGGGAACTGATAGAGATATTAAAATATGAATACAAAAGGAAAGAGGAGCTTCCGTAGCACTAGTGTAGAAAATTTGTGAAGGTGGAAAGAAATAACTATTACTAAACTAATAATGTTTAATTCTAATGTCAAATCAGTACTGTTGTATGGAGCGGAAACATGGAGAACAACTAAGGCAATTACAAATAAACTACAAACATTCATTAACTGGTGCCTACTCATAATGGAGAGAATTGAAGGTTATGATAGAATCACTAGAACAAGAGGGGAAGAAAAGATGCTAGCGCTGGACAGGACACAGGTTGAGAAAATCTGAAAACAGTATAACTTGAATTTCTTTGCACTGGAACCCACAGGGGCATAGAAATAAAGGAAGACCCACACAAAAAACACACATAGAGAAGGAAGTTAGAGAGTTAAGTTAAAAAAAGATGGAGAGGACATAGGGAGAGCTGCATGTGATAGTAAAGGATAGAATCGACTTTTCTGCGTATGGAAACTTAAAGGAAAACCTTTTTTTTTTCTGCTTTCACCCTTAAAAGGATGGTTGGCAAGTTTTGTTGTGATTTACAGCTGAGCTGTGGCACCAAAATCTTTTGGCCCAGAACATCAGCAAACCCTTAATTAGTTGCTTTTTACAACATGCACCCTTCTCCCCAGTGAAAGCCTGGAACCCACACAGTGCTGGAATATAATGCATTTGTTGGGCGGGGGAATGTGAGCACTCTCAGGCCTATCTTATTCCCTCTCCCTCCCCTTCTCTCTCTGAAGTCTTTACCTTATGCTCATATATTTCAGACGGTGTTAGTCAGGGACAACTTGGCAGCACCTCAACTTCCTCACAACCATTTGTGTCCAGAAGCTACTGCTTGCCATGGAGGTCTCGTCCAGCACCACAGCCTCCACACTGCAAGACAACAACAGCCACGTGCTGCCACACACCCTCGTCACATCCTTGGCCTCAACGTCAAGCCCTGTTGTGTCTACATCTGGCCCAGAGAGTATGCAATTGTTTGTTTTTATTGTTTGTTTTTTTTTTAAATTGTAAAGATTGCGACCTATTCATTTTTACTGTGAGGCATCTGTGATTGACACTCATGTATTGAAATATAGTTGGTGACATTGTTTCACTGAGAGATCTGTAATGGCCCTCTTCTACTGAAACATCTGTGATGACACTCTGTGCCCAGGGGAATTCCTCTCTGAATGATGGTACTTCATGTAACCGGGTGTTTATCGCTTGCTGTGAGGTTCTAATGGGGTTAAACTCACTCACTCCACTCATTTTTATAGGTTTGTTTAGAGTTAAAAGGCTTTTGGCCCTGAAGATTTAAGGCCACATACCTACTTTAGTTGCCACAAACTGTGAAGATCAAGGTTGTTGAGCTTTGAGGTAAGCACTGACGTCACAGCATTCAGGAAATTTCTATAAGCGGTACATCCTCATCTTCAGCAGCCAGCAAAGAGTTCCATTCTGATACTGCCAGAAGCAGTTTGTTTTATGCCTGTCTTGCCTTTCCTCTGAGTGTAGAGTGTCGACCAGGTCCCCTGGTCACTCCTTGCTGTCTCCTTCTCTCCAGACCATAACGATCTGTTCGTGCGCAACATTTTTTTCGCTTGTCCCCAAAGGCCTTGATTACATATAGCTCCTCGTGCATAAATTCTCCACATTGTGATCAGACAGTCTGCCTGCCACAGGAAGAAGTTGCTGTAATGAAGTGACAGTTTGCCTGTCGCTCTGAAGGTCACATGTCTGTTTCACAGACTGTCATTTGATTCACAAGTTTAATTTTTGTTTAAGGTGTCTAGGGATTGTTGCTGATGACAGAGTTTGTGCTTTGTGTGACTGTCTTAACTCTTTCAGTATCAAGAACCTCACCATACAGTGGATGCTGACACTTTATATGGTACATATTTCTGTACTTTTCCTATCCCCATTCTTCTGTTATGGTAACTCCCCTTTTCTGCCAGTTGCTTCTATAACACTTTCTCTCCCAAAGCTGTATTTTTCACTCTAGAAGTCTTTAAAAAAATTGCTATTATATGATACACAAGCTTTAGCATAGATACTGTTAAAATGTTACAATTCAGCACCTTCTGGCACTGAAAAAAAGTTAAGTTGTGGGTGTGAGTTATGGACTGTTGTTGAGTATTTGTGGATTTGAGTTATGGACTGTCGTTGAGTCATTGAAGAAAAAGAAAAAAAATTAGAGCTTTTGAACCGAAATGTAAAAGAAAAATTCTTAGAATACCATGGATAAAGATGAAGAAAAGAACACTGATCTAGGTGATCTGAGTATCGAGGAGAATTGACTCATAAACAGCATCCTGGCCTCGAAGCATGGGAGTCTGGAGATAATGGTGATGAAGGGTACATAGTTTCTGGAAGATGAGGCAGAGGCAGACCTCGGCAAAGGTAAATTCAATACCTTCAAGGTGCGTTGGCTGTGAAAGCATGTAGGTCTGGAGAATTGGTTTGAGAAAGTGAGACTTTGGGAGCCCATTGGGACAAGAGCGATGTTCAGTAAAGGATCTGCTGATTCACGATGACTGTCGTATGGCAGTTTTGTCGCGCACCTTACTTGCAGGATATTTTCACAAATCCCTCAGGTGCTCTGAGACAGGAATGTTTTGAATGGTGGCTCTCGTTCGTCTAGAGGCCTAACCCTCGGTTCAAACTTTCCATTCAACCTGTCTCAGGGATGAGGTGACACGAGCTCTGACTCCACAGGGTTATTATGAACACTTGGGTACCTCTCGGCCAGACGTCCCCAGAACTTTTATGCCCCCAGACTGGGATAATGTAAACCCAGTCGAACAAGTAATCAATAGTGAACTTGACAAGATAACACTACCTTTCTGAATAAGACAATGAATTTCAATAAAACGAAACTATTCTACTAACCAGAAGACTGATGAACTATAACATAAATGTAATTAATTCACCATAACAAAGTTGACGAAAAGTAGCGGGAAGAATTCAAAAAGAATGTTCAAATCTTTGAAAATCTAACACAAGAGAAAGAGTTTTTCTACATAGACACATCAACTTCCTGGATCATCATGGCGGAGGTGGAGAACTGATTACGAAGGCCCATTTGGAGTCGAGCCATTTCAAGACTATCACTTCGACTTATCTGATTAGATCTCGCAGCTCCTCAGGACGCCGGAATGGAGTTTCACACCGCCGTACTTTACAGCATGACTTCACAGGAACGAAGCAGCTTCTCAGGATACCGGAATGGATTTTCACACTGCCGTACTTCACAGCACGACTTCGCAGGAACGAAGCAGCTTCTCAAGATGCCGGAATGGATTTTCACACTACCGTACATCACAGCACGACTTCACAGAAACGAAGCAGCTTCTCAGGATGACGGAATGGATATTCACACTGCCGTACTTCACAGCACGACTTCACAGGAACGAAGCAGCTTCTGACGTTGATCAAGGACGATCAACTCGAGATCGGAAGATATCGACTCAAGTATCGTCCACACATTCAGCCAAGCAATTCACCACACGTCAATCGCTTATTGGGTAGTGGCAGATGGAACCACTCTACCAGACACGGACACTTGTTGGATCTTCAGAAATCCTGAAAAACGCAAAGCAACACTCATGAGCGAACCGTACCCAACGCACCCAGTTAATCAAAGTCCTCACTCCCTCCCAGTGCTCAGATATACTTGAGGTTATTCCAAACCATGAAGGTAGGTTACCTCTATCTTGGAATCCATTTAGTTTCCTAGAGTGAGCACTAGATCAATAACTCGAATAGTTCCTGGATTCAGTCCTGTAGTGAAGGCTAGACAGATCTCCATTATTTACCCTCCCTTCTAAAATACCTTTTCCATTAATAGGGAAGATAAGGGATAGGCGATGAAGTCAAAACTAAGACCGACTGAAATATGTTCTGAAAACAATACGACAGTCTAAGCTTGTTGTGGTTACGAAGTCACCTAGCAACAGCGGATATGACGTCATGCCTGCCCAGAAGCTTCTTGTCATTCACAACGGTTCAGCGACTTACCAAGTTCTGATACCGAATAACAGCAAATAACTAATCATACAAAGTTATCAATACCACAAACCCACTCCAGATATGTGGATTGATTAATCCGAAGAGGTTTAGAAGGCCATTTCGAAGAATTCTCCGAGAAATGTCAGCCGAAAGTGCATTCCAATCCGGAGCTCCCTTCGCCGTCTTCCATCGCAAGAATCGTAGTCAAACAGATTCGCATTATCAATCTGCTGACCTTACTTACCTACCTCACAGACACTTTGAGCACCAATATTCAATTAAAAGTCCCTATGAAAACTCACCCATGATAAATGAAAAGAGAATGAAGAATCTTGTCTTTTTAACGGTCAATTGGCGACACACAATGAAAGCGACTGCCTCCAAGACCGGACCATAGAGAAGTGTCGCACAAAAACACGTTCCCCAACTACAGCAGTTAGCGTACGAATCCCGCTCACGAATGCAGTGCAGTGGTCAGACAATTTATTTAGAATAGGCGTAGAAAATGTGTCCTAACGTGTAATTCGACACTAAAAGCCTAAAAGAGTCAATATCATAGTAATTTATAGGAATCTTTACTATCAGGACTCCCCCACAACAAACGAACTATATAACTATGGTCGGCCCATACTAAATCATAGTTACAATGACGATTTTGGGGGTGTTCAGCCTGTGGACCTCCCTACTGCGGCAGATGTGTGGATTCTGTCATGCGACAATGACGTGGCGCTCTTTGCAGAGACTCTGCTGAGGGAGACCCAGTTATATTGGACAAAACCTGGTGTAGTTAAGTCAGTCCTCTCGCCTTCTAACCTCTTCTTCACGTTCACCGGATTCAGAGGATTTGATCATTTATACAGACGGTCCAGTGTCAAGAGGCAAAAGAAGTGCTTGGGGCTTCTTAGCAAAAGTTAATGGTCGACGTTTGGTGCAGGAGAGTCTAACATATGATACCACAACATCCAGCTTAAGAATGGAGGTGGAGGTGGTAACTGCAGCTTTCTGCTGGCTAGAGAACACGACACACACACACATCGTGATTGTAACTGATTCAGAAAGCTTGCTGGGGAAGATCAGAACAGGCATGCTTCATGCAGAGTGGCATGCTTCACTGCGGAGAACACGAGTGAGGAGTATTGTCTGAATTTTTCACCGGTTCATGCCGGTGTGTTGGGAAATGAACAGGCGGACAGACTGGCTGGCTCTGCACAACTCGGTGGAATACTGATACATGATAGGACAGACATTCTTAGTGCTTTATGGGAGAGCTTGTACAATTCAGAGGAGCATATGGATCACCACAGTTTGATGAGATTGATGCAGTTGGGAGTGACGAGAGGTTCTGGCAGATGCTCAAGGCTCAGAGGAAAGGCAAGATGGGTGGGCGTTTAATCAGAATGCTACTGGCACAATTAGTATCGGAACTCTTCGCTGGCTGCTGAAGTTGGGGAAGGAGCACTTATGGGAATGCCATGAGTGCTGTGATGTCGGTTCTTGATCAAATCAAATCGCGTTCACCGACTGTAAACTCCGGCATTAAAGTGTCTGGTTGTTCATCCACTTCTGGACTCTAGTCCTGTTCCAGAAACTTGAGTGTTGCAGAAACATCCGTTTCGCAGGTCTGACTCATTTGCATGCAGACTGTTGGTTACTTGCCTCTCAAGCAGATGTACACTGACTTTGAAGGAAGCTCCCAATTAGTCGACACGCTTTTGGACCGACAGTGAGTCTGTTCTTGTTTTCCCCACAATCGGGCCCCGGAACCCACACGGGGAGACTCTGAACTTCCAACTTGAAGTCTAACATGTAGTATTGTCTGCATCTACAGCTGAAGGATTAAACAATGTGGTGTCAAAAGAAGCTCCAGCAGGAACTCTAGAAGGTAATTTTTATTCAGAGGAACTATTTAGAGCACTAACTTATTGTGAGATAGGTGGTTTCCAGATATTTATTGCAACGTCTTTTCTCCTGTTTTTCTCATTCAGTTTCCTATTTTTCAATCACCTTTCAAATGGTTGATGGCGTGTTATTGTTGTGGTTAAAGCAGTAGTGGGTAATTGTGGTTAAAAACTTGATGAGCAAGTTAAATATGGTGAAATAAAACAAAAAATTTCATGTTAAAAATTTATGGAAAATATAATGCAACGACTGAAGCAAAGACCTTTAAACATGTCCGCAGCTCTTACCCAAAAGCTAAATGGATCCATATATATACACTGATGGATCACTGGAGGAAGCAGCAAAAAATGGAGCTTCTGGTTTGGTCATTATGCTGCAAGATGAGGCCACAGTGGAATTGTCATTTGCCTCCTAGAAACTTTTAACAAACTTCAGAGCAGAGCAGCAAGTAAACTATTTGAGGAAAAGAAAATTTTTTTAAATGTTTCCCAGTGTGACTGCATGTCAATCCTACAGGTGGCTGAAAGTGATTCCCGAGACAGAAAGAATAGAGAACTGATCTGCCGGCTAAATACACTTAACAAAATTTATTTTAAATTTTAATTTGATCTTTCTCCAGTGGATCCTGGCCCACTGAGACAATAGAAAATGAGTTGGCGGACAGACATGCCAAGAGTGGAACAAAGGCAAAAACAACGCACCCATTCATTGACGTTACCAGAAATTAAATCGCGTATTAAGAGAAAATGTGGGAAATTGTGGAGAGAACAAACCAACAGTAAACCTCCTCAAGAATCCATCAGCTGACTCGACAGAAGAAAAACATACAGCAATTCTCCATTTAAGAACAGGACACTGCAGGCTCAACTAACACATGCATAAAATAAAGACTGTACAGTCCCCACAGTGTGCATATCAGACAGGAGCACAAACACCTGAGCACATTCTGCACACCTGCCCACTAAACAGTTACTACAAAGAGAAATCTGGCCTCAAGAGCAAAGTGTGCAAAGCAAGCTATGGGGAACCATGGAAGACCTGCAACTGACATATGAGTTTATAGAGGCAGTCCACCGTCGGTCTGAGCCATGCATATTAATCCAAACGCCAAGAAGAAGAAGAAAAGATAATACGACTCAGAAAACTTTAAAAAATAATAACAAAAATTGTTAGGTTCTATGGCTTTGTCATATCCTAAACTTAAAAGGGTAGTTCAAAATAAACGTCAAATCTAAAACAAAGAAAAAACTTTTATGAAACAAGCATAATCAGCTATATAATTCTGCTATGGAATTAAGGAAAAATATAAAACTGGTTGAATCCGCGTGTGGGTTCCAGGGCCCTATTATAGGGAAAACAAGAATAGACCCACTGCCTACCTAAAAGCATGTTGTAAGAGTCGACTAATTGGGAGCTTCCTTCGAAGTGAGTACATCTGCCTGAGAGGCAAGGAACCAGCAGTCTGCACACAAATGAGTCAGATCTGTAAAACGGATGCACACGCACCACTCAGGTTTTGGAACAGGGCTGCTGTCTAGAAGTGGACGAACAACCAGAACTTTCCGCCCGAGTTTACAGCTGGTGACCGCGAAGAAGAAGAAGAAGAAAACTGATTGAAAAGTAGATCAGTGAGCTTCAAAATATAACAAACACAAACAAAAAGTGAACGTTGTGGCTACTGAGCCTTCATCAGCCCAGGCATAAACAAAACCACAGAATACACATAACTGACTTATTCCGAAACAGCCTCGTAGATGCCTTGCCATGGAGTGCCACAAGCAGACATTAAAATAATGGCACGATCAGGAAGCTTCATATTAATCGTAAGGGTTGAAATATTTGATAAATGCTTATGCTAGTTGTGGTGATCTGTAATTAATTATTCTGAATGGTTTCTTTTCTTTTTCAAAATGCAGTACCAGTTCGTTATGGGCCTCACTTGCCTTCAGGAATCTATTCCTCAGAAACGATCAACTCCAAAGATGTTCGAGGTATGTCATAACAGAACTGTATAGATAGTTATAAAAGTCAATTGGATCAGATTCATTGCTCTGGGTTTTAACCCGTATGGGTTTGTCTCTCTTCACAGAACAGCTAGCCACTTACCAGGAACGTCGCACAAAGTGTGAACTCTGTCCAAACTATGTCATTTACATCTAGTCATTTAAAAATGTAATTTCCAAGACCAAATCAGTCATTTAAATAAGAGAGCTGTTCCACTAACTTAGAGAAGCTAAGTTATGCATTGTTTGAAGCTTTCCATCTTTCCAGATGACTGTGTTAATTGTGCTGGAGGGAGGCTTAAGAATCACAGTCGATGGTGCAGTCGAAACTACAAATGAAAATCCTCTTCTTTATAGCACAAACTCTGGACAGTTTTGTAAAGACCATGTGTTGCACCCTGCTGCATGATCCCTCACTTGGCCTGCTTTGTTTGCTACAGACAAATTCTAACATTAGTAAGTTTGAAATGAAACATGCTGGAGAAGCTCCTGGATCAAAATAGCAGTGTTTGTCCACATCCCAGAGCTTCCCTTCTAGATCAGCTGCCAATCAAGAGTCTAAGACCTGGTTTACTGGGCCATAACATTACATTTTCTGGTTGCTTATCATCAGGGTCGGATAAGTCTAGTACCCCCCCCTCCCACCCCCAGTGTGCACCTGCCCATGTCATGTGTATGTCATTGTATATGTAAGTAATATATACTTTTATAAATATATACAGACATGCTTACATACATACAAAGTGGGTGCTAATGTTGTACTGTGTTGCTGAAAACAAGCTCCCAGTTTGTCTGGATGTTTCTTCCGATAGTCGGATAAGTCTAGTATCCCCCCAAAGTGTGCGCTTGCCCTGCCCGTGTCATGTATATGTCATTGTATATGTAAGTAATATATACTTTTATAAATATATATGTACATGCTTACATACATACAAAGTGGGTGCTAATGTTGTACTGTGTTGTTGAAAACAAGCTGCCAGTTTGTCTGGATGCTTCTTCCGAGAGTCCATGCCCACAGTCTTCTGCCTTGTTTTTTATTTTTGTGTTTAGGTGTTTTCGCAACTGATTGCTGGTCTAAGTATTGACATCCTAGCATATAGCATGCATGCCTATGGTTGCTCCATCTCCTGCAGCAAATATCTTAAGGTGTAGATGCTGACTGTTCCAGCAGAACTCGTATCATACTCATCCTTTCATGTCAGATTCACACTTGATTCCTAAAGTCACTGTATATTCAGTGTATTCTGTCACACATACAGACATATATGTGTATGTAAGCATGTGCATATATTACTCACACACCCACACACTGGGACAGACACACTAATGTCCGTATCCACTAAAGAATATTTGCTGTTTTCACTTCTGACAGATTCAAAGGCAGTACCTGGCGTCTGTGGGCTGTACAATTTGGGCAACACTTGCTTCATGAATGCAGGCCTGCAGAGCCTCATGAGTTGTGCTCCTTTGGTGAAGTTCTTCTGTGAGAGCTACAACTTGACAGATGGAAACAAGCATACACTGACTGCACAGTTCTACATACTACTGTGTAAAATGTGGAGTGGTCACTTCTCTGTGGTGCACCCAAGGAAGTTCAAGGATTTCCTGGGGTTCTATCACTCCCAATTTGAGGACTATAGACAGGTAAAGGGTATATTTTCTCTTCCTGATACGGTCATGTCCCCCTCTACAAGTGTCCTCTCTTTAATGCAAGTCAGCTCAAATGGTCCTTTAATACTCTATTCATTTGCCATGGTGCACTTAAAAACAGTTCAAGTATTTTTTTTGGGGGGTGTGTGTGTCGCTCCCATTTATGAGATTATTTGTTAGACAGGGATGGCTATATTCTTCTTCTGATACTGTCATATATCTGTCATCAGGTGCCATCTTTGCATTGAAAGTCGGCGGTAATGACTCTTCTGGTATTCTGTCCCTTTCCCTTGGTGCACCCAAAAAATTTTCAAGGGGTTCCTAGAGTTTTGTCACTGCTGATTTTAGGATTATGGACAGATATTAGTATATTGTTTGTCATGATACTGTCATATCCCTGTCATCTAATTACACTTCTGTCAGGAAAGTAATGTCTCTTATACTCTATCCCTTGGAGCACTAAAGGAAATGTAAGGATTTCCTGGGGTTCTGTCACTCCTGATCTGAGGACTATAGACACGTGTGGGTGTATTATTTTCTTGATTCTGTTATATCGCCCTCTTCCAGTGGCATCTCTGTAATGAAAGTCATCTGTAAGAGCTCTCCAGTTCTCTTGCAAGGTGCACCTAAGAAAGTTCGAGTGTCAGGCCTCCACACAGGTATGGTTGCATTCTTTACCTGATACTGTCTTATTTCCATCAGGTGTCATACCTGAATTGAAGATCATCTGTCATGAGTCTTTAATATCTTTTGTCCACTATCTTTGTTGTGCCTTCATAAACCAATCCATCACTTGATGTCTACATTAGAAAAAGCACCTTTTTTCCACCTTTAGATGTATCAGAAAGGCATTTTATTTAAAATGTTTATGCATTAGTCAGCACTTGGTGAGTGTTGTGATGAACATTCATTAACTCTTTCAGTCCCAGGGCATTTAGGATCAGAGGCCCAAGGGGTGGTAAAGAGAGGCATAAAATCTGTGCATCTTGCGTTCATCAGGCTTTAGGCAGGAACTTATAAATGTATAATGTGTTACTTGGGACTGAAAGAGTTAACTGGTGTCTGGACAAGAATAAAGGTGTGCAAAAATGAACAGGCAGAACAGGCTGTTTCTGCATCACTAGATGGGGACGTGATGCGTCACAAGCTGGAAGTAGTTGAAGTCCTTTGAGAACAATGCGAAAGCACAAATAAGACATTGCAGTGTGGAGAGAATGGTTCAGGGGACCCAGCCGACACTGTGCTCTCAGAGAAAAGGCACAATGGACGTATAAATCCATCAGTATTCAGACTCTTCACTGGCTGCTGAAGATGAGGATGTAGCACTTTTGAAAATGTCCCGAGTTCTTAGTTGAGCTCAATACTTTTAACTCAACTGAAAATACAATTTTTTTTATTTTTATTTTAATGTTTTAAATTTGTGAAAAATCTGGTGGAAAAAATATTACAGTACCTATTATGGAAGCGATCAGGAAAATCTAGATTACCCACTTAACATGTTTTTAAAAAAAAACAGCAATTTTACACAACTCACACACACACACACACACACAAATCCTGACAGTTTCATTTATGTACCAAAAACAGAATTAATTTCCATGCCGAATAAGAGCAGTAAACAGCAAGCATGAATGCAGCGGCTTAGAATTAACTGATTTTCCTCTCTGTGGCCATAAGAAAAATGTATACAGCAACTCATAAGTAAGTAAGTAAAGTAAAGGACCCTTTTCCACGTCTTTAGGCGTATAGAGCATATAGGGCTAGACCTGTATTTTTATAGACCAATCAGCACAAGATGGGTGATGTGGTCAACATCAAGCTGGCCGCCTTTACTTCCCAGGACTGCACCCTGTACCCACTCAAGGCTGGGTCGACCTGAGAGTCGAGGTCATTTTTGAAAAGTCTGGCTCCGCCAGGAAGCGAACCCACGACATCCCGATCCGCGGCGAGTGTATAGCTGCTCCGCCACGGGAACTCCCCTGCAACTCATACTAGATCTCATTACCCAGTTGCTGGGGAACCAGCAGGGGCAGCGGGAAATTTTGACTTATAATTTCTGTTTGTATTCAAATTGGAAAAAGTGTTATGTATAGTCAAGATAATAAATTCCGGCCCTAAATATTTTCGCAGTTGCAAACATACCAGTGCTGTTAGCTGTGCTTCTTGTGTACAAGGCGCGGTAGCAAGTCTGTAAAGCGACATTTATGGGGAATTGAACCCAATAGGAAGTGTCAGTTTTGTGGCTTCTCAGGGTAATAGGGTTAATGTAACATTAGATAAGGAGTTAACCTTTTCACCCCGTGAATGTTAACAAATAGGTCCTGAACCAGGGGAAATTCCCAGGGCAAATCCTTTTTTAAAAAAACGCATTACACAGGTGCCTAATAAATTTTGTAAAAATTATTTAGTTTTTTTCTTTACAAAATATAGGAAGATTTATAAAAGGGTATTCATTAAACATGAACAGACTGAAGCATTAAATGAAGTACATTCCCCGGCTGGAAAAAACCTATATGTTTGGGCTGACTTGTGCCGTGACCTTTATCCCTGAGCTTACAGGAAAATTTGACATCAACTTGGCTTTAAGAAAAAGTCATTGGGGTCATAATGAAACCAGCTACAATGCTGTTTTTAGGTACTGTATTTATAACCTGGTCTGCTAAACTCTGTGCAAGTGCTCATAAGAACCAGTGGAATTTAACTGCACTTTTTGAGAACAGACCATTGCAGACATGGCCATATGTTGGCATTTAGTGACTGTCATAGCTAGAAGTGAGTAGATTTAGTCATCTTGAGGCAACAGAGTTAAAATAGCATCTAGATAAAGCACGAGGTGTGAAGTTAAGCAAGTCATGTAAATAATCTATAAATCCGTGATATTGTCTTGGTACTGAAAGAATTAATATATGTAGAGATGTGTCCATGGTGTTAATATGTTTTGTTGGTTTATTATTTCCAGCACGATTGTCAAGAGTTTCTGGCATTGCTTCTAGATACATTACACGAGCAGCTGAATAGCGCTGCCACCGCCAACACACACTCTTACCTGTCATCTCCACTCCCTGTGACCTCATCCTGCTCGGCATTGCCCATCCCATCCTTAGAAAAATATGGTGCTGCCGCTGTCACCACCCCTTTAAAATCAAAACCTCTTCCTGTGCCAGAAACAGTACTTACAGGAGTCATGGATGGTGGCCTGGTCAGTGATCTTAATAATAAAGATTCCAGCCCGACTGTTTTAAGTCCTGCTTTCAATGTAGACAGGGATGACGATGTTAATGTGAAGTCTGTAGAATACGCTGGTCTTGCTCAAGCTATGTCTGGGACTGAGGTTGAACAAAGTCTTGTTTACGCTGATGAAGGAAGTCCAACAAGTCAGTCTTCTGTGCTGGATGCAGTTGCAACAAGTCCATCTAGTCACGGTGACGTTGCCAGTCAGAAGTCGCCAGAGAGAGGGGAGGAGGATGAGATAATTTCCAGTTCATTCCCACCATTGAAACGATACACCAGCCGCTCTAATTTAGATGATGTCACATCGTCAGATTCTGGAGTGGTGTTAAAGCCATCTTTGAAGAGGGTGTCCAGCGGCAGCTCTGTACTAACCTGTCCGATTTTTCACTCTGAAGACAGCAATCATTCCTCGGTCTCTGCTCACAGTACTGACTCTGAACAGAGCAGTGCGTTCAAGCGGCTCAAAATTGATGCCATAGAGTTAAACAAAAACACAAACAACATTGTTAAAGAATGTGTCACATCATCTTCTGACTGCAAGAAAAATACAAGAAGTAGAAAAAACATGTTGAATGATAATAACGCATTAAGAGCAACAGGAGATATTCTGGTTACCAGTAATGTCTCAATGCCATCCTCTCGCATCGACCTCAATGTCATCGACAATATGGTATCTTCTTGCCAGGAAGCACTGTGTGTTGACATACAGTCCCCTGAGTCCGAAAAACCCGAGGCAGCATCTCAGTTATCGCCAGGTTTGCCCAGCCTGGATGATTTTTACAGTAAAGAAACCAAAACTCTCAACACAAATGTGGTCTCGGAATTCCTACAAGAAATTACTTCAGACTCAGAAAAGTTTGCCAAATTGGACAACCGTTACCGGCCTCCTTCAAAGGAAATTAACATTCTTCAAGAAGCATTTGGCGAAGAAGACAAGGCAGAGAAGGTTCTTATCGGTCATCGATTTGGCAGCGTCAAAAAGACAAACCTGTACGCCCAGACCTCAGTTGCAGTTGTGAAACCAGTAAAAAATTCTGACCCAAATATTCTAAACAACAGCCTGGATATGGATGTGGAGGCGATGTCCAAGTTTGTCCCCAGTGGTGCCGAGGTCGTTGTTGCGGAAAACACTTTGCCTCTAAAACTATTTCCAGACAATCACAAACTGGATGAGGTGGAGAAGAATGTGCAAATGCAAGCTTATACTAAATTTAACACCATTCCTGATCGGAGTAATATCCGCACTGATCTCATCGATGCAGTTCCGGATCCAGACTGTATGGAAGTGGATGAGGTAGATAATCTATTCATATCTTTAGCATGATTGTTGTCTGTTTTGTTTTAGTCTTGATTATTTCTGTTTTTTAGTCCCAATTGTTGTTTGACATTTAATTTAATTGGTTGTCTTCAAAAAAGTTATTGACTTTCAGTCTGATTATTGTCTGCTTTTCATTCTGATTATTGTCTGCTGTTCAGTCTGATTATTGTCTGCTTTTCAGTCTGATTAATATCTGACTTTCAGTAATAAAGGCAGATTTTAAAAAAAACCACATTGAGAAGAAAACTAGAGAGTGAAATTAAAAGGATAGGTTGAGCTGCATGCAGTGGTCAAATATAGGATAACAAGGAATGATGAGTTGATTGATGGCCTATACTCTATTGGGGGGGGGGGGGCACAGAGCAGTAGAAGAAGCATCTTCTTTTTAGCAGTCACCAGTCCCAAACTTGGGTGGAAAGTTCCAGGACTTAGCTGCCGTTTGCCACCATTTTACAGATGAAAAAAGAACTTGTGGGCAAACAAAGTTGTGTGAAATATGTAAAACGGGGGAGGGTGGGGGGGGGGGTTTGTTGAGTTTGTTTCTTGGTTTCGTTTAATGATAAACAAGATTTGAAGCCAAATTTGTATTTTACTTTTATTTTAATGGCTTTCTTCTTCTTCTTCACTTCCTCTTTTACCGCTGTGGGTGTCGAGGGAGATATAAGGTTCTGTTTCTAGCTCTTCTGGCCGCCTTAACCATAGGCACATTGTGCTATTGTAGAGTTTCTCTGATGTTATCCTTGTTCTTGGTCTACCTCGTGCTCTACATCCTTCTTCCCTTTCCATGTATGCTTTGTATGGTGTGGTGTCACAAGGCATTCTAAGTGGGCAAACCATTTCACTTGCTGTCTTCGTATGTAATTTAGAATTGGTTCTGTGCCGACTTTTTCTCTTATGATCTCATTTCTGATCTTATCTCTTATGGCACTCCTACAGCCCTTCTCAGACATCTCATTTCCATGGTTACTAATTTTCTTTTATGGCTTGTTGTGAGTGACCATGTCTGGCACTGGTAGCACAGAGTTGGAATAAATATGCTTTGAATAAGATGTCTCTTTGTGCTGATTGGGATTGTCTTATGCTGTAAGAGGGGGGCTAGCTGTCCCAATACTTGGTTTGCTTTATTGCATCTAATGTTAATTTCTTTATCCAATTTCCCATCTTCGGTAAATGTAGTTCCCAGATATTTAAACTCAGATGCCTGTTTTTAATGCCTTTGCACTTCTATTGCTATGTTTAGAGCTGTCTTCCTTTTTTCCTATTGACATTACTTCTGTCTTTTCAGTGTTGATTCTCATATTATTTGTTTTACATTCTTCATTCATGGATGTTAGATGTTGTTGCAATTTCATGGCTGTATCTGCTATCAAGGCCTGGCCATCTGCAAAGAGTAATTCGTAATGGCTTCCTTCAACAGGCTGATATTGAAAGTTCAGATGAAGATGAAATAGAAGTGGCCTCCCACACATCCACAGTAGATGAATGTTCATCAGTGCCAAATTGCTTACGCTATTGCTCGTCCTCGGAAGTCGGGATGGCCAACAGAGCATGGGACGAGTACCTAGCCAAGAATGATAGTATTATAGTCAGTACTTTCCAGGGACAGTTTCGGAGTACAGTAAGTAGGCTTTTTTTTTTATGTAACGCCAGTAAAGAGAAATAATTGTTGTTTGTCAGATTGAGAATGTTTAAAGTAAGTTGAAAGAGTTTGTAATATGTTTCTTTATATGAAATAAAGAGACTATACGAAGATATAAAAATAGTGGTATTTTGATTTAGGACTTACCCTTCGTTTAACATATACAGGTGTTGTGAAATCCCTTAATGTTTCCTTGCAGAAAATGTTGGTTTTTACACTTTGTCGGACATTCCCGTTAGCTTTGCAGAGAGAGACTGAGCAGTATAAGTTAACTATTTCGGAACTACATTTTTTTTCTGGGGTTTAGACATCATTAATTTTGAGGGGGATTTTGGTTTGTGTTTGTTTGTTGCTTAAATATGTGCAAGCTAAAACCTTCATGAAGAAAAAGTATTGGCGGCTATAGGGAGAAATAATTTTTCAAATTAAAGAAAAATGAGTGCAGAATAAATCTTAAACTATTTAGTTGTCAGTATTACAACAAGTTATTTTTTAAATCACACAACATTCAAGGATTTCAGATACATATGAAGATTATTTACACACACAAATTTTGTACTTACCTTACTTTTTATTTGTTTAGCAACACACTGCTATCCAATTCTAAGAATGCACATGCCTTTTCTGTTTAATTAATTATGTTGCAGCTAAATTTTATTTGAAAAATTCATTTAAATAATTTGAATGTTATGACAATTTTTGTATGACATGTCAGATTTCGTAACAACGGAAATCGTGAAAACAGCTGATCGAAACAGAGATAAACTGAAAAAATTGTGTTCAGTCTTCATCCTAACCGCAATTATCAGCAATAGGTTTGGCACATGCATTATCAGTGATAATATCACAGCTGTTGTCTCTGTGTGGTGGAGATTCATTAACGACAGAGTAGTATCAACAGTTTTACTGGGCCTTTTTCCTTATCATTTATTTGGTCTGGAAAAATTACATCAAATTTGCATCACATCTAATCATTTAAAACAAATCAGAAAGTGATGCAAATGCCACTTCAAAAATGAAAGGACTTTGTTTTGCTAATTCTAGTTTTTCGAAACCTCTTCATACAAATTTGTTTTCCTAGCAAACAAAATGATATTAGAGTGTCTCTATATAGAGTCACTATAGTGGCGAATAGTCTGAGCGGGATGGATTCAAAAGCCACTTAAGTGGCGACTAGTCAGTAAAGAGTTTAAGCTATGTGCAGTGAATTCGACCCTTCTATTTTAAAAAAAATTTTTTTTTTTTTTTTTTTTTTACTTTTGACACTAGCTGATAACATGACCTAAACTATACCAGTTTATGTCATATTGCATTTATGTAGTATTTTTTTTCTTGCTGTCAGTAAGTATAATCTTGACCTCCTAATCACACAGCCAATAGTATTGAATGGGTGTCTCAGAGAAATAAGCCACTGTAGAAAGGCCAGTTAAGTGGAATTTGCGGATGTGTCGGGTTCAAAGCTTCTAGGAGTTTGTAGTGAGTCATTTTCTCCCCATTAATTTATGCCCGATAGATGATGTCAGTAATAAATGTAGGCGAATGTTTTGACTGACTGAGATAACACAAGATTTATGTCTTGAGTTTCATGAGAGACATCTGAAAGTCAGGTTTTATGTGAAACATGATTGTTAACGTGAACCATGAAGGTTGACTGGCAGGCTTCATGTGAAATGCGACACAGCCAATGACTTTTCATTAAATTCGTGAGAATGAATTTATCCAGAATATTCGAGAACATGGATCACTATATAATAGGGAGAAAGGTTTCAGTGGCATCTCGTTTGGACCCCAGGATGTGCAATGGACGCGGTGGATGATGGCTGGATAGCAGATTTTTGTAAGTGAATTTGTTAGTCCAACTTGGCGAAAGAATGGCCAGTAAAAGTCCTGCAGGTCGTCCTGAGTTTGTCTGTCGGACAGCTGTTGTGTTTTTCAAGATGTTAGTTTATGATTTTGCTTGAAGGTAATATTTGACTAGTGCGTTATAATGTGTGCCTGGAAGTTGTCTAGTTTCATGTACTGGCTGTGTAAGCCGCGAGTGGAAGATTAAAGTACTGGAACAGTATCGTGTTGTTTTTTTTCCACGTCGTCCACCTCGTCGTGTGATGTCGGTTTTGTGAGATGGCAAGCCTAATGAGGCGAGCCAGTAGAAGATAAAAGAAAGTCATCGCAGAGTTTATGTAACAGCTATCTTAGTTAAAAAGAATAAAAGTAAAAGTGTGCCGTGATTTATTTTTTTTTAAACCTAATAGTGAATGTGTTAGGAATTACATGGTACCAAAAAAGTTTACTACCCCCTTTTAAAATAAAATAAAAAACTTTTTGGCTGAATAGAGAATGTGCTGAAAGTTGATAATTGAAAGCATTTCATTTGTCCCGCAGGTTGTGTGTTCAGAATGCAGTCATGTCTCGGTCACTTACGAGCCTTTCATGTACCTCTCATTGCCAATACCTCATGCTATGGAACAACAAATATGTAAGTGTTGCCAGTAATATCTTCTTTCCCGTGTAGATTCAGGAGCTCCATTTGAGGAAGGGACCCCAACCTGCCATAAGAGGCAAGGCAGCTAACTAGGGATTCGCTCAAATCAGGTGTGCTGAGCCGAATGGGGCCGATATCACAGCCCAGCTGTAAACCACAACATGCTAGTCACCTCTTTTTTTTTTTAGCAGTGAATGCAGCAGAAAAAGTAGATATCATCTTGTCTGACACCTACATAATATATTTTGTTACAAATGAAGAGATTAAAACTATGAGAACAATATTCATTGTTTAGTAAATTCAGAAACGAAGACTGAAATGGTTCAGCCATTTATAGATCTAGCCGTGATAATGCACAACCGGACTATGGAAACACAAAGAGATAGAGGGAGAACTAGAAGAATACGGATTGAAAGTGTCTATATGCTGATGTGATAGCACAGCATACTATGTTGCCAAGTACATCATAGTCTTGCTACATATCATCCCTTACACTAAGACACCTTTTTTCACGAAGCAGATATTGACAAAAGATGATGATGATGATCACAGTGTGAATAAATTGATGTTGGCATAGAAGTAAACTGACCACCTGTGAACTGCGATGTCTGAGAAAGTTGTGAATAAAATAAAAGAGATCAAAAGAGAAACAAAAGCATTACATAACATAAGCCTTGATCCGCTAAGGTTATGCGGATGTATCGATGGAAGCGCTAACACACAAAACCCGCCATCTATATATAAATATGTGAACGGCAGAGGCTTGTCTTGATATGTTCTTAATGCTGCAGTTCACGGGAGAGCCAATGCTGAGAGCTCTAGATTGGAGGCAAAAGGAATTATCCTGCCATTGTTAATTACTGTGATCATAATAGATTCATATCATTGACACACACATTTGTATGTGGAGAGTTATTAAAAAAACATATTGATGTTGCCTGTCAACTACGTGTCCTCAAATGTAGAAGTTTCAGTGGTTGAATTTTTTAGTGGCTTTTTCTGCCCGTCTTTGCAATTAGCCTTTGTTACCCCCCTAGAGTAACAAGTTGCCTGGTACGGCATTGACACGGGATGTACTTGAGCAATTATCGCCATATACCCAGTGCTAGAACACATGTATTCAATCAGTTTTCGTTATGCCTAGTGGCACATGAGGCTTCATAGAAGACTTTCCATGCTTTCCTGTCCTGTGCAATCTTTGATGCAGTTTTCCATGTCAAAGATGCCACACTCAGGTCACTTTCCATCGTTTGTCTCCATGTTGTTTTTGGGCGCCCCTGTTTTCTCTTTCCCTCTGGTGTCCACGTGAGAGCTGTTTTGGCAGGTATATCAGGATTCATTCTCATAACGTGGCCAAGCCATTTCCATCTTCTCTTGGTTATCATACTGTCTAGAGTTTCTTGGTTTGTGGCTTGAAGTAGTTTAGTGTTTGAGATTGTATCTGGCCAGAAAATTTTGATAATTCTACATAGACCTGAGGACACAAGTATTGGCTCTGCCTTTGCGGAAGCCTACTTGGATGCTCATGTTTTGCTCCTGTCTTATCTTGAGGGCTGACCAGCATTAAATGGCTGCCCTGGCCAGGTCTGATGAGTGGCGCCACCTATCGATTAGGAAACAAATATGACCACACAACACTGGAACTGCAGTGTCCCATGAAACTAACCGGGAAGTCTAACCCTGGCAACAAATGCCTGCAGAAGTTGGATATGCTGAAAGATGCAAATATTGCAGCCATGTTGTAAATGTGTCCAGTACATTTACCTCTTTGGATAAACAAAGAAGAAGAAGAAAGATAACATATGTAATTATATTTTTTTTTAATGAGGCAGTCCTCTTTGGGACAGATGAAAACCATTGAAGGGTTAGAGCAATTAGACTCAGTAATGTTTGAAAATGTTATGAGAAGAAATAGACAAGAGAACTTTGTGGTGACTGGCAAGATTAATGGGGAAAGAAGGCAAAGGGAAGGCAGCGAGATGAATACCTGGATGGCTTGGCCATACGGCACATGGGGCAAAACATGAGCACTGATCTGATCAATGATTCTGGTGATTGTGCATGGTAGCGGAACATGACAACCTACCTTTATTGGCAGGTTGGCAGGGCACATGGTGATAAGAGGTGGTGAGGTGATGTCTGAGAAAGATTGCAAGAAGAATGATAACGTTGCCAGAGTTGCTTGCAATAAACAGTCCAACATTTAAACAAAGAAGACACAAACACTAGATTGCAGAGTTTATTGCCTGGGATATTTTGCTGTATCTCGACATTTGCATACTACAGTAACAATTAAATAAATGGAGATAAAATGAATCCTTGCATACTTAAGTTCAAATTCAACCACACTCAAAAGCGACTGCCTGTTTCACCAGGGCAACCAGAATGTCAGAATCATGTCTTTCTGTTTACAAAGTTCAGGACAATCTTAGCGTTCTGCCATTAGATGACATGTGAAGAATTTGAAAAGTGTTGACCTTGGTAACCATGTGTCCAGATTTTGAAAGGTGGTGGGCTCTTGCAGAGGGATGGTCTTTTCCGACTGGTCACTTGGGTAGTGTTTGTTAAATTATTGTTCTTGTTCTCATTTCGATGTTTATTTTGCATTTATTTTTCTACCTATACTGGAATATGCTCAGCGACTCATTTTCTTTGAATCCAACATTTGTTATTACAGTTTCATTTAAACTCCTAGGGGAATGAACTGCCCTCACAGTTTTATCTCTAACCCCCCAGTTATGACCCCTGGTACTCCACAAGGTATTTATTCCCTTAGCCGACACGTGTAGGCACTGTTGCTCCTGTGCCCCAGATACATATTCCCTACGTCCTTTTTAGGACATTTTTTGTTATTTGAAGCTCCACCCTGGCTTTTGCCAGGGGCCGCAATATAGGCAGGCCATAAATATGGCCAATTGTCTGAAAGCGGTTTCTGGGACCTATCCACGGGGATCCTTATCCACATGGTGGCACTTGGTGTCATCTGGTGTTTATCGCTTGTGTGATGTCCTAGTGGGGTAGAAAGTCAGTCAGACGTGTAGTCATTTTGCTGAGAAACCATCGACCTGGCTGCTTTGAGATACCAGCTAAGTGATTTTGTGTATTTGTGTAGTATTGTTTGATTTGTATGTGCTGATGAAAGCTCCACAGCCACAACATTCACATTTTGTTTGTTTTTGTTATATTGTGTAGCTTGCTAATATACTTTTCGTTCGGTTTTATATCTTCTTCTCTAACATTTGTTGTGACTTTCAGGTGTAGTGTACATCTCTCAGCATAAACCTCCCGTGAGATATCTGTTGAACCTCCTCAAGACAGATAAAATTGGAACAGCCAAGAAAAAGCTCTGCGAGCTGGTCGGGCAGGATGACAGTGATATTATCATGGCTGAAGTCTTAGACTCACATATCTCCAGAATACTGGTAAGAAAAGATACATGTGCCAGATTTTCTTCTTCTTCTCCTCCTCCTTCTCCTCTTCCTCCTCCTCCTTTTTCTGCTGCTGCTGCTGCTTCTTCTTACAGCAGTCTGAGAGAGTGTGCAATCTCGACAAGAGACCAGAGCGTATTGGAAGTCCATTGCAGCCAACCTGATTGATTGACCTTCTTCTCCACCTTCTGCTTCTGCTGCTCTCCACCTCATCCTTAAAAGGAATGGTTGGGATATTGTGTTGTGGTTTACAGCTAGACTGCAGTGTTTGCAATTTTTGGCTGAACACAATCTGCTTTCAACAAACCTTTAAGTTTTTGTTTGGTGGGCTGTGACTCTGGGTTGCAGTTGTGACTGTTGGCAGTCTCCACCCCTGAAATTGTGATTGATGAATCTACCACAGCTCTCACTTTAATCATAATTGTAGCCACCATGTTATTATTTTTTCCCCCCTCAGCTTAATACTTAAGTCATCCGTTGCCAGAAGTGACAAGAACTTGAAGTAAAAATGTACAGTTTAAAAAAACATTCACAGGGTGTGGATCTTTAGATTCTGAAGTTAGTTTCGTCCTTTTACAGGACGTTGCAGAACAAGCCCCAGCATTTCTTGGCTGTTGTGGGTTTTTTTAGGCACATTTATGTGCAGTAGTTTGCCATTGCTTTCTGGACGGTCGGCTTCTCAATGCCACTGTCGAAACCAATGCAAGGCGTGCATTAAAGTGTAAAGCGGGTGTAATACCAACTACACTAGACTAACATACGGTTAAAAACAACCAAAATTAAGACCAGTATTTTACAATGTGAGAGACAGACACATGCATTGTCTGTTGTACAGCGTAAAAGAAAATTGATTGTAATCACAATATCAGTATGTGACTGTATTCTCTTGTTGATCATGGGGATCCATTTCACGTCCCGTGGATGTTGATGGCTGGGTCAGATGGTCTTGCCCAGGGCTAGAAGTACACATGTGCTGGTGGCCCGTGAAGATAACCCAGTTTATAACTGACACATTTCAGAGTGATCATTACTGTTACTCCTTGTAAGAAACTCTGTTAATTTTTCATCAATTTTAACTAGTTTTATTGCAATTTTGTGTAAATGAAATGTAAAGTAAAGATCCCCTTTTCAGGCCTTAAGGCGTATCGGGCATATGGGAAGACCGCCCTTATTTTAACAGACCATCAGCACTCGGTGGGTCGTGTGGTCAGCATTACCCCGGCCGTCTTTACTCTCCCAGGACAGCACATCCTGGTACCCATTCAAGGCTGGGTCCACCTGCGACGCCACATACCATGATAAAAATCCACGCAGTCAGCAGTGGGATTCGATCGCGTTACGTTGGTATTACGAGTCGGACTCGCAACGCCTAAGCCACTGACCACTTGTAGAACTAATGAAAAACCAGAAATTTATTTCAGGACCCAAAAAAAATACATAGTTCACTGACCAAACTTGTATGGTAAACGAAGCAGCAGGATAAGACAGAACGCATCTAAATACACCTCAACACATGTGGCAAGGTGTTTAATTGTATGTATATGGGTCAGTTTGATCAGAATATGGCTAATTTGTATTGCCCTTTAATCCCAAAGATTACAATGCTTGGAAGTCTGTAAGGGAATTCGTAAACATGTTTTTACACTCTTAGCAGTGAGGGTCAAGAAACTGGATAATGTTCAGAGTCATGCGTAGCAGTGTACGGGCAAACGGTGAAATAGATCCATAGCAACGAAAAGTTTGAACAACATACTTGTTAAAAGGCAGTAGGTCTGTTCCCTGGTACAGATTTTAGACTAGGTCTATCTGAGAGACAGTCAGTTTTTTAGGGGGGGGGGGGGGGGAAGAGTTTCTTCTTGCAGATTAAAACCCACGAACAGCTGGTGAAAACATGCAAATTCCACTACATGGCATTGGGCCAAAGGGCGAAAGCTCATGCGACGCTGGATCGATAACAACAACAACAACAAACCCAAAACAGTTCAATAGGCAGGCCAGTGTCATACCACTATGCTATCTTGGCTTCCTTGACATTTTGTACTAGACCATAAATTTGTACAGACTATTCAGCACTTGATATGTTTTCTTCTTCTGTATTTATTCCCAAAAAGAGCCTAGATCTCTCACCAAGCTGGTTTAAATTTGTTTTTTTTTTTTGGCTTACTTTTGCAGCTAATTTTTTCTGTTGGGAAGATAAGGTAGCCAAACCCAACCCTTTCCTTTTTGCCTGGTACAACAAATGTAGGAATAATAAATGTGGTAGGAATAACAAATGTGGTAGGAATAACAAATGTGGTAGGAACAACAAATGTGGTAGGAGCAGCAAATGTGGCAGGAACAACAAATGTGGTAGGAACAGCAAATGTGGTAGGAATAACAAATGTGGCAGGAACAGCAAATGTGGTAGGAACAACAAATGTGGTAGGAACAACAAATGTGGTAGGAACAACAAATGTGGCAGGAACAACAAATGTGGTAGGAACAGTAAATGTGGTAGGAACAGAAAATGTGGTAGGATCCATCAGATGATTCCAAATGTATCCATTTACTTTTCTTCACTGGTTCTTATTGATTGTATTTTTGTATTTCATGCATAAGAGTACATGAATTTTTCTATAGTTAGTTCATATTATTGCTTTCTTTTCTTTTCCTTTTCAGGACAACAACATGTTGCTCAAGTATGTAAATACTTTTAATCGGAAGATTTATGCTTTTGAAGCTGTTTCATTGGAGTCTGACAGTGCTTTAACTGTGGATTCTGTGTCCTGTCACCATCTTATCAGCAGTGACGGCAGTCCATCTCATCATGACTTTGAACTGCCTTCCAGCTCCAGAGCAGATCTACCTTACACTTCTGACGCCCAGGTGTCTAACCAGAGCTTTGACTCCATCAATGTAAACTCACCTAGTAGTAGAGACACTTTGGACTGCATGCTGTCGGACTCCGAAACTTGTGAGCCAAGTTCACGCGGGCAGGAATCTTTGACTTCATACTTCTGTGCTGACGACGACGAGGATGGCGTTGGTGAGTGTCAGTCTACCTCAGGAAGGGCTTCTGGGAAGAAATCCTGGACATCAGGAGAGCATTCTGGGCAAAATCTTATTTGGAATCTTGACCAGAGTTCTCGTGAAGCTGCGAGCCACAGTGATACTGGACACAGCTTGGCCTCATCAAGTTCCTGCACTGTTAGAGACAACCAAGTTAACTCCTGTACTTCTGTGTTTTGGTGCGGTCAAGATACGAAACACAGCAAGGAACTCACAGATGGTAACCATGACCAGGATTCTGAAGATGAGACAATAGTCAGCGAGGCTTCCTCGTCGCAGGCTGATCTTTTCCCAAATATTGGACATAACAGTCGCACATCTGTAATGAAAGGATCACCTGATAGACTTGAAGAAGATGAGGATGTTCTGCCGGCTTCCATAGCCAGCACCTCCAAGTTTTCCAGTGCCACCAACAGCACAGCAATTACCAGTACAACAATCAGTGTCAGAAGCAGCAGTCATCAGATTACCAGCAGCAGCACCAACAGCAGTGCTGACAACATCAGCAGGAACCCCTCGCGGTCGTGCCCCAGTCCTGATGGAGTGTCGCATACCTCAGAACATCAAAGCACGTTGTTGGATGTAGCAGCAAGACTTGAAGAAGGCTCCGGGAATTATTTTGTCCATCGTACACAGAGTGAAGGCAACTATGATTTTTATCCAGAAGGTATGTCCTCACTCATGTACATCTTCACCTCTGTATGTCATTATCCATGTATATCTTCATCTGAGTGTGTTGTTCTCCGTGTTTATCTACATATGTGTATGTTGTTATCTGTGTGTTTTCACATGTGTATATCATTCCATGTATGTCTTCACCTGGCTCTGTTGTTATCCTTGTAAGTCTTCACCTGTGTATATCATTATCCATGTTGTCTTCACCTGGTTCTGTTGTTGTCTGTGTAAGTCTTCACCTGTAAATATTGTTTTCCGTGTAAGTCCTCACCTGTAAATATCGTTATCCATGAAAGTCTTCACCTGTAAATATCGATATCCATGTATGTCTTCACCTGGGTCAGTTGTTATCCTTGTAAGTCTTCACTTGTGTATATCGTTAATCCGTGTAAGTCTTCACCTGTGTGTATCATTATCTGTGCAGTCTTCACCTGTGTCTGTTGTTGTTTGTGTAAGTCTTCACCTGTATATATTATAATCCATGTAAGTCTTCACCTGTGTATATCATTATCCATGTATGTCTTCACCTGGGTCAGTTGTTATCCTTGTAAGTCTTCACTTGTGTATCGTTATCCATGTAAGTCTTCACCTGTGTATGTTGTTAGCCATGTAAGTCATCACCTATGTATTCATTATCCATGTAAGTCTTCACATGTGTATGTCGTTATCCATGTAAGTCTTCACATGTGTATGTTTTTAACCTGTCTATGTCTTCACCTGTGTATGTGGTTATCCATGTATGTCTTCACCTGTGTGTGGTTGTCCATGTTAGTCTTCACCTGTGAATGTTGTTACCTGTGTGTCTTTTCACCTGTGAATGTCGTTATCCATGTAAGTCTTCATCTGTATATATCATTATCCTTGTATGTCTTCACCTGGGTCAGTTGTTATCCCTGTAAGTCTTTACTTGTTTATATCGTTATCCATGTAAGTCTTCACCTGTGTCTGTTGTTATCTGTGTAAGTCTTCACCTGTATATATCATTATCCATGTAAGTCTTCACCTGTATATATTGTTATCCATGTATGTCTTCACCTGTGTATATTGTTATCCATGTATGTCTTCACCTGTGTATATTGTTATCCATGTATGTCTTCACCTGGGTCAGTTGTTATCCGTGTAAGTCTTCACTTGTGTATATTGTTATCCATGTAAGTCTTCACCAGTGTATGTTGTTAGCCATGTAAGTCGTCACCTGTGTATTTATTATCCATGTAAGTCTTCACTTGTGTATGTCGTTATCCATGTACATCTTCACATGTGTATGTTCTTAACTGTCTATGTCTTTACTTGTGTATGTGGTTATCCATGTATTTCTTCACCTGTGTGTGTGGTTGTCCTTGTTAATCTTCACCTGTGAATGTTGTTACCTGTGTGTCTTTTCACCTGTGTATGTCGTTATCCATATTTGACTTCACCTGTAAATGTCTTTGCAGTCACAGTGTTCTGAATACTGAGTTTTACCCAGCCAAAGAGGTGCTGTAGACATTAACAGGCAAATGCCTTGTTATTCTTGAAAACGACTGCAGAGGCTAGATGCTTTCTTGCCAGCTCAGAGGTCCTGGGTTCGGAGCATGTTTATCAAAATGCATGTAATGGCAACAGTGGTCCTAAAATCCATTGCTCTCATTGGGGAAGGGTTCGATTTTAAAACGTGAGTGGATCTGCCTAATCAAACTACCCATCACCGTAAGCTATGGTATACTCATGCCTCTCTGCGGCAGAATCTAACACTGTTGTCTGGAGAGAAGGAAATATCGCAACAAAAGGGATTGTGAGCTATGATGAGTAGTTCCCTTCTTCACCATCATTCCTGATCCAACTAAAGCATTTAGCCATTTCACAACACAGTAGCCAGAACTTTCTTCATCCCATTAAAGAGCGGCGTGGCTATGGTTTTTAAGGAAGGGACCATCTAGTGCCAGTAAAATCATTATAAAAAGTATTATGGCAAGCAGAGAAAGTTATAGTGTTGTTATTCATTGCTTCCACTCAAGGCAAGGATAGCAAGCTGTATAAATATATCTATGTGTGTGTGTGTGTTGGCATCTTTCAGTTTTTCAAGACCATAGTGTTACAGGATCAGAAACATTATCAGGAAACAAGCTGCTGGCATCAAGAGGCAGCAGATCAGATGGTTCAGACCTTGTCAAGACTACCACCAGAAGTTGCCTCATTTGTTTTGGTTTTTTTCATTCTATATTTTTTTCTACCTTTCTTCTTCTTCTTCTTTGTTCTTCTGAAGATCCAAATGTGTTGTACACATTTACAACATGGCTGCGATATTTGCCCCTTTTGGCCGACATATCCGACTTCTGCATGCAATTGTTGCCTGGTTTTGTGGCAATACACCGTGATCCCCTCTCTCGGTCAGACTTTTTTTTTTAACCTCAGAAGAATAGTAATTAGAAAAAACTTTTGAACAAAACATGCAGCAAAAGCTGCAGGTTCAGAAAAAGAAACATTTTGAACAAAACATGCAGCAGACCCTGCCGGTTCAGAAAAAAACATTGCTGTGTCCATCTGTTGGAGCTTCCACCATCACTGGCTGTCAGCCAAAGCTCCCACCTACACTGGCTGTCAGCTAAAGCTCCCACTGACACTGGCTGTCAGCCAAAGCTCCCACCTACACTGGCTGTCAGCTAAAGCTCCCACTGACACTGGCTGTCAGCCAAAGCTTCCCACCTACACTGGCTGTCAGCCAAAGCTTCCCACCTACACTGGCTGTCAGCCAAAGCTTCCCACCTACACTGGCTGTCAGCCAAAGCTCCCACCTACACTGGCTGTCAGCCAAAGCAAAGTGTGATATGTTCCTGAACTGTTTTTATTTTATATATCCCAGAAGGCACATGTGATGTTGCTGATACCTCTGGCAATGAAGCATTCAGTGATAGGAAGTCTAATGTAGATGCCAGGTGGTCCAACTTCCCCACAAATAACTCATCAGCTTCTGACACTAGGACTGCTCACATAGGTAAGATTGCGGTTTTGTTTCTTTACATTTCAAAAGTGACAGTGTTATGAACACTGTATTATCTGAATACGAACGAACGAACAAACTTTATTTTCAAAGGGTTGAGAATTGGGCACACAGGCCCGTCTTACATTCTGCCCTTCTGGCCTCACGTCATGCATACATTATTCATGCACACATTGTTTTAGCAGATAATAATAGTATTCATAAGCATCATTAACATCTTTGTAACAATGTACAACAGTATGCCCACATTTTGAAACAAGTATAATACTAAATATATTATAAATCTTGGTGGAAATCAACAGTATTCTCATGAAACTATTATCTTCTAAGGGGGCATGTAGTCTGAAGTGAGATAATATTCAAAAAGCTTCCAATTGTATTTATAGGGGTTGTTGATATTTTTCATTGGTTGTGGAAGATGGTTCCACAGATGTGCTGCAGAGTACGCCAAACTTGTTTTGTACAAGTCTATTCTAGGTTTAGGGATGTGTAATATGTTTAGGCGTTTGCTATGTCGCCAGTTATACTTAAAGAATGGCCAAAGGTAATCTGAAGCATTTTTGGATAAGATTTTGTGAATGACTTTGGCCTTATTGAAAAGTAGTCGTTTATGGAAGGGGAGTAACTTAAGATCTTTATGTATACTGGAAATATCTCTTCCATGATGATTACTGACTAAGCGTACAGCTCTTTTTTGAAGTGCTTTAAGCCGTTTCATGACTGAACTTGGACAGCCATCACATATTGTGGAGCAGTAGTCTAGATGGGTCTGAATATGGAAGGTATAGAATATCCTTCTGGTGTTTTCATCCAGAAGGTGTTTAATTTGTGCAAGCTGGTATACTTTTTTAGCTGTTTTTTTTTTTCCCACCAAAGCTTGCACATGAGAAGTGAAGGTTAAATTTATATCAATACAAGTAAATCAGATGCGCATGCAACACTCAGGTTCTGAAACAAAACTTAAAGTCCAGACCTGGGTGAACAACCAGAAATTTTTGCTGGAGTTGAACACAACAAAGAAAGAAAGTATAAGTTGGTCTTCATTTCTGTAAGGCTGTTCTTGATTCCGTTCTTGACTCCCTTTGTTGTAGGGCCTTTCCCTTAATCTGTGTTCATTTTGTTTCTTCTGTGGCAGGTGGTACCTGGGTATTCTTGTCACATGATCAAACCATACTTTGCACACTGCAGAATAAAAGCGGCAGCAATTCCCTGTAATGATGCGCAATGGGCACCAATGTTTTGCACATACTGTGTGAAGAATATTTTACAGTTACATCTTCACAGTGAAGGTTGGCTGTTGCGTACCTCTGTTGTCTTTGGGGATGTCAGTTACATCTCTACAGTGAAGGTTGTCTGTTGTGTACCTCTGTTGTCTTTGGGAATGTCAGTTACATCTCTATAGTGAAGGTTGGCTTCTGTGTACCTCCTGTTGTCTTTGGGAATGTCAGTTACATCTCTACAGTGAAGTTTGGCTGTTGTGTACCTCCTGTTGTCTTTGGGGATGTCAGTTACATCTCTATAGTAAAGGTTGGCTTCTGTGTACCTCTGTTGTCTTTGGGAATGTCAGTTACATCTTCACAGTGAAGGTTGGCTGTTGCGTACCTCTGTTGTCTTTGGAGATGTCAGTTACATCTCTACAGTGAAGTTTGGCTGCTGTGTACCTCCTGTTGTCTTTGGGAATGTCAGTTACATCTTCACAGTGAAGGTTGGCTGTTGTGTACCTCTGTTGTCTTTGGAGATGTCAGTTACATCTCTATAGTGAAGGTTGGCTTCTGTGTACCTCCTGTTGTCTTTGGGGATGTCAGTTACATCTTCACAGTGAAGGTTGGCTTCTGTGTACCTCTGTTGTCTTTGGGAATGTCAGTTACATCTTCACAGTGAAGGTTGGCTGTTGCGTACCTCTGTTGTCTTTGGAGATGTCAGTTACATCTCTACAGTGAAGGTTGGCTGTTGTGTACCTCTGTTGTCTTTGGGAATGTCAGTTACATCTCTACAGTGAAGGTTGGCTGTTGTGTACCTCTGTTGTCTTTGGGAATGTCAGTTACATCTCTATAGTGAAGGTTGGCTTCTGTGTACCTCCTGTTGTCTTTGGGGATGTCAGTTACATCTCTACAGTGAAGGTTGGCTTCTGTGTACCTCCTGTTGTCTTTGGGAATGTCAGTTACATCTCTATAGTGAAGGTTGGCTTCTGTGTACCTCCTGTTGTCTTTGGGGATGTCAGTTACATCTCTACAGTGAAGGTTGGCTTCTGTGTACCTCCTGTTGTCTTTGGAGATGTTACATGGTGAGGCCCCAATCTCTTCCACAGTGTGTGACTTTCCTACCATTGTCCAAAAACCATGTGGATTGTCCAAAAAACCATGTGGATTGCCCAAAAACCATGTGGATTGTCCAAAAACCATGTGGATTTTTTTTAGCAGTCCATTGCAGGAAATGAACCTACTACTCGAGGATCATGAAATTCTTGGCCACATTCGCTAACCTTTCAGTCATTGAGTGGGGTGGATATGTTCAAAATGAGCTTGCTGTTTCTTTATTAGTAGACTCATCCTTAGTCTTGGTCTTAGTATTAGCCGTAGACTTAGTTGAGATTCCAACTTTACTGCAGTAGGGTCATCCCCCATATTGGATCCGTTCCTGTGCCAGTGAAAATCAAATGAAATTTCTCTCACTGTCCCATTTGAAAAACTGGTGACCAAACACTATTTCTGGCACAATCCAGAAATATGTGTTCGCAGTAAATGCATATGGTAGTTGCTAGAGGTGCCAAAGCCAACAGTCAGACTAGAAATGCAATTTGTCATTGATGGAAATAGTCGGTCACAATAAGTTGGCTATATAATTGTAAAATTACTACATAAGGTATTTCACCAGCCCACACATAAACCGACTACCGGCCATATTGAATACCAAGACACAGTAGCTGCATAAATGAAAATCATTCCATGGGAAAAACAGCTCACAGGGCTGCACCAAGCACTAAACTCAGTAGTTCAGGCAGCGAAACCGTAGACTTCTGCCCATATGTGGAAACTGCATTAGAAAAGCGCTGTCGGAAGCAAAAATACATTTTAAGCTAAACATTCTGCCATGCCTAGTTCTCCGTATTTGACCAGAAGTCCTTTATCCCATCAGTGTGTACAAGTGTTAATAATATGATACAGTGTGGTTTTAACAGTAATAATATAAAAACGGTATATTCAAGTTTGACACTGGTAGCATAGTGTTGGAATGAATTTGCTGTTTATAATCTGTTTATTGGCAGTCATGCTTATGTTTGGATGTCCTTCAATGAAAGAAGATACAGTTGACAATTTTGACCAAATAGAAAAATTAAAGTCAGTAACTTACCTTGCAGACTCTGTGGCTGACCAGTGGAGATCCTGTGCCATCTGTCTGGAGGATCTGCTAGGACACGGAGCTGCTGACTCATGTCTTGTGCAATGGGGTTTTCTGTCAGAACTGCTTAGAGGTAGGAACATGCAAAAGAATTAAATGACTTTCTGCGTCAGTTTTAATATGTATATATTTGTTTCTTGTCTTGACAGTTTTTTTGTCATGACATGGAGGGGTGTCAGCACACCAACTGATACACAAATTTTGCGGATCGCAGTTTGTGGAGAGGCATGATCGCCCACCCCAGTCTGCAAGGCACTTGATGCTGATGATTTGTTTCTTAACTTATACAATGCTTTTTTAATTGTTTTTGTTTGTGTATGTGTACGTATACGTAATAAATGTCATATGTTTATGAAACTTAGTTGTTTTATCATTGTGGTCTTTATGAATTACACCTGTTTGTGTTTGTCTGAATCAGTGCTGTTGGTGTAACCTAGTGGCTTACATACTTCACCAGAGTTTTTGCCCTTGCTGTATTTAATTTTAATTGTGTCTGTTTTGCAGATGTCTGTGAAACACACAGCAGACGTTTCAGCTTTCTGTTGCCCAGTAAGTACAGATATTAACGGGTTTAAAAAAAATATTTGGTAAGAACGGTGTGTATAAATTTTGTTATGGATTTTGTAAAAATAATTTTGATCTGACTGTATATTATAATGAATATTTGGAACAACATGTTGGGGGGGGGGGGGGGGTGCTGTTCTAAAGCAAATAAAGTTTTCACCCATATTATAAAATGGTGACTTAGCTCAGTGGTTGCCCAACTTGTTAAGATATGTGGACCTGTCTTATTTTCAAGGTTGGCCACGCCTCTATGCCTTTTAGAAGTCAAACTGTATAGCATGCAATCATTTATCAATATTAGAATCACAAAGTTTTGTGTGTGAGTATGTGTGTGTCAATATTAGAATCACAAAGTTTTGTGTGTGAGTGTATGTGTGTCAATATTAGAATCACAAAGTTTTGTGTGTGAGTGTATGTGTGTCAATATTAGAATCACAAAGTTTTGTGTGTGAGTGTATGTGTGTCAATATTAAGGCCCCTCTGAATGCCATGCTTTTTTTTTAATAATTAAACTGATTGTCATCTCACTGATACCAAGTTGTAGCCCAATATCGTGGTTTTCTGTATTTGTCTTGTGCTTCTCAGCTGGCTTGGGTGATAGATTTTTGTTCATCTTCCCTAACAGATAATAATTTGTTAATATTAAATATTAGAATCACAAAGAAAATTACATTCTAAAGTTGAGTTTTGCGTGTGTGTTTGTGTGTGTAAATATCACTTTCCCTCTGGAAGTCAGATTAGAGCAGGGCCTAGGCTATTAGCCTTTTGTACTTATTTTGGGAGCGTTTTTTGTTACAGGAGCGGGTCTTTGTTGTTACAGGGGCCTTGATCTATGGTTCCCATGCCTTTCGACAGTGCAGTGTAACACTGTCATCTGAAAAGACATACATTTCGGAGCTTGATGAAATATAATGGTTAGAGTATTTAGGAACGATGGAATTGGTTATTTCACCCCACCTTAGGGGCTCTGAGATTTCCTAGGGAGTTCCTGGGAAAGTCCAGGATTGTGGGGGGTGTTATGACATGACTTTGTTCGGTGTTCATGCAGTATGTGAAAAAGTGTGCACCGAGTGAGCTAACAGCCGACAAACTGTCTTCCACACGAAAGTGCATAACGTGTGAACGACTGTGCAGCTAAATTTCTTTCCGTATGCATATGTTGGTTATTTTCAGCATTTACTGCGTCATCATTTTCAGTGTGTGTGTTACTTTCATTTGTTTGTGTGAAATGAACACTAACTAACCCTAACATCCCAATACTATATGACTTTCCCGGGAATTCCGCAGACAATCATGGAGGCCTTGAGATGGGGTGAAATAAATTAAAAGATCCACTGAAAAATGTGGAAGCACTAAGGGATCACGGCGGTGTGAAGAGAGTGGTGCATCAGGGTGTGACCAGGGATCTGCGTAGAGCTCTACGCTGAGAGGAAAGGCAAGACAGATATATAATCAAACTGCTGCTGGTACCAAAGGATTTGGAACTCTTCGCTGGCTGATGAAGATGAGGACAAGACACTTATGGGAATGTCCCCAGTGATATGTCATGTCAATTCTCAACTCGACCTAAAACGGACAAGTGCTGACAAAAAGAAAAAATGCCAGTATCAGTCACAAGACCCCTTCCCCCTCCCAAAAATTTTCCTGTATCTTGTTTTCTTTCAAATCAGTGCAGCCATGAATTCATTATGTATTTCAGATCTGTCTGAATCCTGCAAACATGTGTGAAGACTTTGTACCTTTGGCCAGTGCTAGCGCTTCTAAACCCAAGATAAGGTACTGATAGAATGAACAGATTAACTTTATTTTCAGAGGGTTAAGAATTGGGCACGCGGGCCTGTCATAGGTTCTGTCCTTTCGGCCTCACTCCTTACATACATTCTTCCGTTCATGCATCAGTTAGCGTAAAAATAATACACATCCTCCTCATTGAATTCTTGGTCACCGTTGCTGGGATATGCTCTAATTATATCTACATTTCCAAACAGTAACAATACTTAAAGAGAAAGACAAAGGAAATACATTTCCAAACAGTATCAATACTTAAAGAGAAAGACAAAGAAAATATGGTACAAACTGTTATATATTTGTGTATTTTGTCATGTGTTTTTGGCATTAAGTAAATTTATATCATATTTTATCTGTGTTACTTTATTATTAGTGTTACATATTAATATTACTTTATAATCAGTGTTTAGCAGTGTAGCTATGATCTGAGTGATATATGTCTCTCCTCTTTCTTCCCTCCATGTCTTTCCATCCTTCTGAATAACCCCCTCTGTGAGAGAGAGAGAGTATATTTCAATGTCTTCCTTCTAACTGTTATATTTCAATGCCTTTCTTACTATCCACAACCCTCCACAGTATATTTCTAATGGCTACATTTCATTATCTTTGTAACTGTTATATTTCAATAGCTTTCTGATTGTTATATTTCAATGTCTCTCTAAGGATGCTGCCGATGAGCATTGCCTACCGCCACAGTGTCAAAGACAACACTGGCTCATCAACACTGCAACTCTTTGGTCATCCAAATATTGTCCACATGCCCAGCGTTGTGTCGGGGGAGGCCCTCTACAGTCGGATAGATCGCCTGGTCAGCCCTTTACTGACCTCTTACTCAATCTTGTTAACTGATGGACAGGTAGGTTCTGATAGAGTCATCAGTGATTGGGTGGTGTGGATAGTGGGTATGTAGGCATGGGAGAGTCATACATTAATGTGGTGTAAAAAGTGAATGTGTAGGAAAAGGAGTCATACATTAATTTTGTGTAAATAGTGTGGGTATGTAGGCCTGTTAGAATCATTTGTCAATGTTGTGTAAATAGTGGGTATGGGAAAGTCATATATTAATGTGGTGTAAATAGTGGCTATGTAGGCATGAGAGAGTCATATATTAATGTGGTGAAATTAGTGGCTATGTAGGCCTGAGAGAGTCATATACTAATGTGGTGTAAATAGTGGCTTTGTGGGCCTCAGAGAGTCATATATTAATGTGGTGTAAATAATGGGTTTACATATCAGTCATATATAATGAAATTACCTGTGTAGGCATGACTTTTGCGGTGAAATATAATGTAGGCCTGAGGACTTATTGATCCTGCAGTAGGCCTAAGAGTCTTTAATGTTTTTGTGGGCAGAGAAATATTAATGTGGTGTAAATAATGGGTATATCAGTCAGGAATCAAATCCCGGTAACAGGAGGACTTACCTAGGGTATTCGAGAAAAAAAAGCAAACCCCTAACCTTACCTAGGATTCGAATCCTGGTCTCCAGCATAAAAGTCTTGTGTTCTTATCAGTTCGGCCAGCTGCTGCTCAGTCTCTTAATTACCAGTAGTTTATCTTCAGATTTGGTTTAATAATTAACAGTAGTTTACCTTCAGATTTGCTATTAAAATTATCAGTAATTTTATCTTCAGATTTGGTATTATAATTAACAATTATAATTAACCTGTGGCTAAGTCGATGCAAACGCTTGAACGTAATGCCGGGTTCGATCCCAGCTGCGGACCATGCGCCTTGCGGAGCGGTATCAGGGGGCCGACCGTCCAGTAAGCAATGGCAAACTACTGGACATAAATTTGCCTAGAGAAACCACACAACAGCCAGGGGCTGCTGGGGTTGGTTCTGCAACGTCCTTTAAATTACAGGATACGCAACTAACCTGTTACCTTCACATTTTATGTCTTAATTATCAGTAGCTTATCTTCAGGTGTAATATAATAATAGCTACCAGTTGTTTATCTTCAAAATTGATGTCTTTTTTGACCAGGGCTTGACTTGCTCTCGTTGTACATATTCCTGGCACTGCACCGGTTGTGAGATTGCCCGGGAAGGAGAAATCACCCTGCAGCCCTCCGACTGTCTGACCATTCATGCCCAAGACACTCTGTCCTCTGACCAGGTGTTGGATATGCAGTTTGTTCATGAGGATGTCTCCATGGCCGGCCTGAGGTCTTCAGAACCTACGACTATTATGGATTGTTTCGGGGCTTTCACACAAAGGTGAGCACTGGTTGTGGTTGTTTTCAGGGTTGTCTTCAGCATCATCATCAACCACTTCTGCCATTAAGTGTCGTAGGGAGGAACAATTAGCGATCCAGTGCACACTGACTGGCACTGGCTATTGTCATGCTGTGAATGCGTAGAGTGTCTTTAATGTTGTCAGTCCATGTTTTCATGGCCGTCCTCTTGCTTTTCAGCTGATCTTCTGAGATGTTGTGCCTGTGATGGTATTTGATGTTGCTGCAATATAGCGGGATGGCCAAACCATTTGATCTGCTGTTTCTCATTTCTTGTTGCCTTTGTCAAATTCTTCTTATAGTCCAAGCATGTGGCATTGATCATCATTTTGTCACCGGCCTTCTGTATCCTGTACTGCCGATCATTTCTGGCACACATCTCCTTTCCTTCCTCCTTCACATTCACCAGCTGAAAGCTCTGGTTGTTCATGCACTTCTGGACTTTCGTCTTGTTTCAGAAACTGTGTTGCATGCACATCCATTTTACAGATCTAGCTTATTTGTGTACAAGTTGTTGGTTCGTTAACTGTCATGCAAATGCACTCTGACTTGAAGGAAACACCCCTAATTAGTTAGTTGCCTTTTACGACATGGTGTATGCAATCTATGACTCCCCATGTATATCCCCTGACTACCCATGTCCCATGACTCCCTATATATTCTAAGTATATCCCTTGACTCCCTATGTGTATCCTATAATTTCTCAAGTATATCTCATGACTCCCTATGTGAATCCCATAAATCCTCAAGTATATCTCATGACTCCCCATAACTCCTCAAGTATATCTCATAACTCCCCATGTATATCCTCATGATCCCTCGTGTGTATCCCCATAACTCCTCAAGTATATCTCCCATGACTCCTCAGACCCCATGTGTATCCATGACTCCTCAAGCTCCATCATGACTCCCCAATAACTCCTCAAGTATATCTCATGACTCCCCATAACTCCTCAAGTATATCTCATGACTCCCCATAACTCCTCAAGTATATCTCATGACTCCCCATAACTCCTCAAGTATATCTCATGACTCCCCATAACTCCTCAAGTATATCTCATGACTCCCCATAACTCCTCAAGTATATCTCATGACTCCCCATAACTCCTCAAGTATATCTCATGACTCCCCATAACTCCTCAAGTATATCTCATGACTCCCCATAACTCCTCAAGTATATCTCATGACTCCCCATAACTCCTCAAGTATATCTCATAACTCCCCATGTATATCCCTTGACTCCCTGTGTGTATCCCATGACTTCTAAAGTATATCCCTTGACTCCCCATGTGTATCCCATGATGCTCCATATGTATCCTCTGATTCCCCAAGTATATTCCATGATTCCCCAGATATATCCCATGAATTCCCATGTGTATCCCATGACTGCCAAATTGTATCCCCTGACTCCTCATGTGTAACCCCTGACTCCCCATGTGTATCCCCTGACTCCCCATGTGTATCCCCTGACTCCCCATGTGTATCCCCTGACTCCCCATGTGTAACCCCTGACTCCCCATGTGTAACCCCTGACTCCCCATATGTATCCATTGACTTCCCATGTGTATCCATTGACTTCCCATGTGTATACCATAACTGCCCATGTATAACCCAGGACTCCCCATGTGTATCCCCTGACTGCCCATGTGTATCCCCTGACTGCCCATGTGTATCCCCTGTGCCCACCCCATGTGTGACACTACTCTGCATGTATAACCCACGACTGCTTCTGCATGTATAACCCACGACTGCTTATGTGACACTTGTCATAACTGCATGTATAACCCACGACTGCTTGTGTGACACTTGTCATAACTGCATGTATAACCCACGACTACTTATGTGTGACACTTGTCATAACTGCATGTATAACCCACGACTACTTCTGCATGTATAACCCATGACTGCTTCTGCATGTATAACCCACGACTACTTCTGCATGTATAACCCACGACTACTTCTGCATGTATAACCCACGACTACTTCTGCATGTATAACCCACGACTACTTCTGCATGTCATAACTGCACGATTACTTCGACTGCATGTATGACACTTGTCTACTTCTGCATGTATAACCCACGATTACTCTGTGTGTGAACCTTGTCTACTTCTGCATGTATAACCCACGACTGCTTATGCATGTGACACTTGTCATAACTGCATGTATAACCCACGACTGCTTATGTGAACACTTGTCATAACTGCATGTATAACCCACGACTGCTTGTGTGACACTTGTCTACTTCTGCATGTATAACCCACGACTACTTCTGCATGTATAACCCACGACTACTTCTGCATGTATAACCCACGACTACTTATGTGTGACACTTGTCATAACTGCATGTATAACCCACGACTACTTATGTGTGACACTTGTCATAACTGCATGTATAACCCACGACTACTTATGTGTGACACTTGTCATAACTGCATGTATAACCCACGACTACTTATGTGTGACACTTGTCATAACTGCATGTATAACCCACGACTGCTTATGTGACACTTGTCATAACTGCATGTATAACCCACGACTGCTTGTGTGACACTTGTCATAACTGCATGTATAACCCACGACTGCTTATGTGTGACACTTGTCATAACTGCATGTATAACCCACGACTACTTATGTGTGACACTTGTCATAACTGCATGTATAACCCACGACTGCTTGTGTGACACTTGTCATAACTGCATGTATAACCCACGACTGCTTATGTGTGACACTTGTCATAACTGCATGTATAACCCACGACTACTCATCTGTGACACTTGTCATAACTGCATGTATAACCCACGAACTACTCATGTGTGACATGGAAAATCACTTCTCCCCCAGTGAGCTCCTGGATGAACACAATCCCTGGTACTGCCCACAGTGTGAGAAGAACCAGTGCGCAAAGAAGACCATGACTGTCTGGAGGTACCCGGATAACCTCATCATCCACCTCAAAAGGTAGGTCCCTGAAAGTCTGAGACTCGTATTGATCAGCCCTTATAGACAAGATTAAAATAATGTAGAAATCCATTGATTTGCTAGACTAGATAAATATTGAATCTGATAGAAAACTTAGATACACACCTGCCTTTTTCAGTAACTGTTGAAGTTGAGATTATCGACTTATCGCACCAGGCTTTATCCAATTTGTCTCTGTCTCTCTCGGCAGAACGGCTAGCTGCCTACTGAAAGTGCCATGCAGAGCATGAACTCCGTAGCTTCGGCCATGATCCCCAGGGATCTCCGTAAAAATTTTACTCGTGAACCGAAGGGCGCAGCCATGAAATGAACCCTCGACCTTCAGAGCGGGAGGCAAACAGCTTGACCGCTTCGCCATGGAGACCCCTAAGTAACAGTGCTTCACAGAAGGAACAGGTGTTAAGTCTGTGCAGTACAGATCTAGAAACCCTAAAGAAAGATATCATCGCTAACCAAGTCTTTTGCACTTAGACCCATAGCTATGAAATCTAGGTAGAGTTTGAAGCAAGCAGTTTGTCCCCTTCAGACTGCTACCTAAAGGTTTACCGTACCAACCTGAGATTTAATAATCTTAGTCTTGATGGCGGACCAACAAGGTAGTTCCCAGCTACCCTGCCCAACCTTCAGAGAAGTTATAATTAGGGTGTATTGTGTGTAACCCAGTCCTTAAGAAAGAGAATAGGGGCTTTTGAGCTGAAATGCTATAGAAAGATTCTCAGAATATCTTGGACAAAGAAGATGAGAAATATTGACATCTTAAAAGATCTGAACATCAAGGAAGATTGGCTAATAAACAGCATCCTTTCTCAAAAGCTGAATTATTTTGGTCATATCAAGCGCCACGACGGATTGGAAAAAAATTATAGCAGAAGGCATGGTACCAGGAAGAAGGGGCAGGGGCTGACCGACACGAAGATGGGCACAGGATATAAATGACTCCTTGAGTGTGAAAGTTTATGAGGCGGGAGAACTGGCGAGAGACCGAGTTTCTTTCAGGCGGACCGTGATGAGAGCGACGATGTGTGTAACCAGTTGTAGGTCAAATAACAAATACTTTAGATGGTATGTGTAACATGCTTTTTCAGTGGCCTGAAGCATTTGATATATCTCTGTTTCGTAACCAGCCATAGGTTATATCGTGTCATCCCTTTGTGGGATGCAATTTTTCGTTATTTGAAGCCTTACTCTGGCTCTTGCCAGGGGCCACAATATAGCTAGAATAAAAATGGTCTAATGGCTGAACGCGGTTTCTGGGACCTCTCCACGGGTGATCCTCATCCACATGGTGGCACTTTGTATCGGGTATTTATCGCTTGTATGATGTCCTGGTGGGGTAAAAGAAGATAGATAATCATAGGTCGGATAACAAATACACTAGAGGTCATATGCCACATGTTCTTTCAGTAGGCCTGGACCATTTGATATATTCTTGTATTGTCTAACATTAGGTGCCATTTCTGAATCTGTTTTCTTATTATGGACATTAAAGACACCCTGGAGGGCAGTGAATGCTGCAGAACTGACATAGCTAAGATAATTCTAGATACTAATCAGCTCATTACCTCATACAACATCAGAATAGTGATGCAGTGGATTCAAGGCCACTCTGGCACACCAGGTAATGACAGAGCTGACAGACTGGTAAAGAAAGGAGCAACACAAGAACAACCACCTACAGCGACAACCCTACAGGCAGCAAAAACAAAACACTTATAAAAGCTATAAACAAAGAGACTTGGCTGAACAGAAGGGCCACGGGAGATACTGGAAGAGAGGTTTATAGAAACATGGCTAGCCCTGATCCTAATGACAGCATTAACCATTTAACAAGAAGGGACCAAGCCACCATCTTCAGACTTAGAACACAACATACTCCACTCAATGGACACCTAAACAGAATACAGCCACAACACTCCCCAGAGTGCCAGCTATGTAACTAACCCTACGAAACTGTTGACCATCATCTCTTTGAGTGCCAAAAACTCAACAAGACTAGAAGAA